TTCTGGAATTGTGATCCTCAGAACTTGGCATTCAGCAGCAAATGAAAGGTCTTAATACCACAGTTGAAAACTGACATTAGTGGTGTCGGGACAGCAGTCAAGTAGGCTATTAGGGGTAGGGAGTTAGATTCTCATTAAGCTTTTACAAACTTTAATGTAGGAGGGATTTCCCTACCCTTAGAAGTTTACTCAAGAAGTTAACTTAGCTTTTGGCAAGTTAATTTCTGGAGTTTCGTTGGAACGTAACTGCTCTGAGCAATGCCTTTAAACGTTATCTGATTGCTTTGAAAAGCAAGACTCTGCATAACGTGAAAACCTGCTGGCATCAGGTGGTGGGGGTAGTCTGAGAAACTTAAATGCTCACAGATCCCTTCATATTAGCTGCAGGGTCTGTGCATTGCACCTTGGGGAGTTGGCTTCCACGATAATCTGATTGTCTCCTGACAAGCTTATAGGATGGTGTGCTCACCTCATCAAGGCTGACTCTTGATCCCTGCGATTTGGAGGCTTGATGAGACCCAGTGAAGGAGTGTTGTCACTTGTGGGTTGTGCTGTAGAAGAACCTTGTTGGAACACGTTCTCTCTGCTTGATTTTGGTTGTGACTTGGATGAGGTTTAAGAGGCTGCAAGGGGAGTCTTGCTTTGTTCTTTCACTTCAGAGCCATCACTTGTGCGTGGGGTGCACAGTGACTTTATAGTCTGTGCAAAACTGAGTATGTTCTGTGGTTTGCACCTTACACCAAATCCCATTGGTGTATAGCTCCAAAAAAAGTCTCCACAAGTTCTTATTTGTGAGCTTTAAGTACTAAACGATTTGGGTTTTTTGTTGTTTCTGTAATATCAAAAATGACCAAAAAGAAGGGGAAAGGACAACAGATAAAAGTTCATTATATAGCTGGTATGGCAAACGTGTATAGAGAAAATAACATCAATATTATTTTGGTGTTGCTTTTGGGGTTCTTTTGAGGAAAAATGTGCTGAAGATAACTAGTGGGAAACAGAATGTGAAGTTAGTTTGGCATTTATTCAAACTCTTTATAGTTCTTTATGCCTTGGACTGTGTTTTAGGAAAATACAAATACATCCTTTCCTAGTCTTGCTATTTACTCAGGTCTTAAGATTCCATGCACAAGTTGCACTGGTGTCCTTTGGTATTCAAATATTGGAAGATTGGAATTTCTCCCAAAGCTAAATAATATGCTGAAAGATGTCTCAAAGCAGGTTTATGCAAATAATGAAAACTAATGTTAAAATAAACATATAACTGCTCTGAATTTCATTGCACTCTTTGCTTTGAGTAGTGTGTTACCTTGATAACTTTCTTCCAACTGGAACATTGTTTCAGACTGTGCTGTTTGAAGAACACGGAGAACATTGGCTGTTTTCAGTGGTAACCACTGTGTATGATGTGCTTCTGTAGAAGCAGAATGCTGATATCTGTTTGGTATTTTCCAGTTCTTAAGATTTTCTTAATTACTATTGTATAAAAGCGAACTTGTGTAAAGCTCTGAGGGAGGGGAAAAGAGATGACTGTGTGTAGTTAAAAAATAAATAGTGTTCAAGTTATTTCAAGCTGGAAATACCACAGACTTTTTATAACAGCCTGGGGCTCTTAACATCTTTACGTTCTAAAACTGTGTTGTTGCTCAATCCGGAAATCTCTTGACTCATTGAACAAAACTGAGCTTTTAGGAGAACTGATACATCTCACAGGAGGTTAGTAGGACTGAGTATGCCTTGTGATGTGTTAAGTAATTAAATTATTTTCAGAAATGTAGTGTCACTATTTCACACACTGTTGCTGACAGTGTCAGAAGTTGTGCTGTGTGGACGACTTCTGTAAAGGATACCAGGCCTCAAACTGAAGTTACATGGTAAGATCCAAGTCTGCCTTAGTGCCAGTTACAGCTTGCCTCTGCAAAGAAAGAAGAGTGGTTATATCTGTTAGATAGCTGAATTAAAACGTTGTTTTGCCAAATTCCTTATAGTTTACTCCTGAACCAGTAGAGTGGTAGGTGTAATACCTGCAGCTAATAAGGGTTATCTTATCTTTTGTCAACCCCAGTAAATAAATGGACTTTTAATGCTTGGGTTTGGCAGTCAGATAATGTAGACATGTTACTCAACCCACTTAGAAAATACATCATAACTCCTGTCCTCAGTAGTAGATACAAGTATTTGCAGTTTAAAGGCTGTGGCTTCTGTCAGACTTGGAAGAAGGTGGAAAAGTTGGATGTTTTACTTTGCACCTGCACAGTCTGTTCAGAGACTGGCGGTACATGACTGCCTGCACCAGGGTTTAAGTGTGATGCTGTCACAGCTACAGTGCCAGAAAGCCTCTTGTTGGAGGATGGTGGGGATTGTGGATCCAGAACCGAGGCTCAGTTTTCATGTACTGTCATCCCAGCTGAAGAGAGATGCGTCTGCTTTGCTTCCTTCTGCCCTGTGCTCCCACTGTAGCTGCTGTGGTGCTTACCTGGTGTGCATCTCTGGTCAGGGTTGGATTTCTGCTGGGTTGGTGATGGGAACTGATTCATGGAGAGGCCTGGCAGAGCACCAGAGCCAGTGTGAGGGAGGGGTTGGACCCGAGTTCTTGGAGTCAGAAAGGGAGGAGGAGAGAGTCTCCATCAACAAGAGTGATCAGGTGATTAGAGTGGTTGAGCTGCTTGTGGATCCACAGCTTGGAACAGGGTTGAGGCTGGAAGTATTTACTTGTGGGACTGATAGCATTTCCTGTGCTGTGTGTGATGGAACCACTGTCACCTTGCCAGACTTTCTGATGAAAAGTTCTACTAAGTCTAATAGTAAATGGAGATTTTTCTGCGTAGGATCCATCTCATTTGCTGCAGAGGATTGCAGTCACAGTGTTTTGAAGGATTTTGTTAAGTGTTTGCAAATGGTGTCTGGTGTTCAGAAGAGTCAAGTATCCTGATGACTTACAGAGGTGTTGAATACTCACAGTTTAGTAAGCTGGGGGCTGTGACAGATGAGCTGTGTTAGTGCTGCATATCCTGAAAAATCAAGCTTTGGCTGAGCTCTTGACAATCCTGAGTTTTGCTGGCTGTTACTAGGAGGGAGAATGTCATTCCCGTTGTCTCAGGAGTCCCGGGATCATAGGTCAGATACCACATCATTTGTTGCTCTGGTGAGAAGTGCTTTAGAGGACAGGGTAGATAAGCACTGATGTGCATGCTGAGCTGCATGGAGTAGTACAATCAGGGGACAACTGCCTCCTCAGTATTTTTGTTGTACTGGAAGGAAAGTGAAGAAAAATAGTATTTAATTATCTGTTCTTAGTGGAAGCTGGAAAGAGGAAGATAAAGTTTCTTTGAACTCTGTGTGACCAACCAGTGCTTTGTAACAGTTCAGCTGTTTGGCTTCAGCGATGGCACTGACCACAAGTGTGTTTTTTGTCTTTAAAGTACAGAAGAAAACTACTTAAAAATTAGAACAGGAACTTCATAGCTGACTAAGAATAGAATAATACATAAAGTGGGTCTGGCCTGAGTGTATACAAAGATAAATATGCAGATGGTAAGTGAGGAAGAACAGGGTTGTTTCTGAGTAACCTGTTGTTTCTGAGAGTGGCTTTTTATTTCAGAAATACACCCCCCCCCCTTTGGATTAATAAGGTCAAATAAGAGAAAAAAGATTGCTGATTATTTACCTGCTGCTTTCTTACTAAATTTTTAGTAGTTTAGTTTTTAACTTGTTGAGGAGTAAAAGAAAGTAAGGCTGATCAAACCAGAAGAGGTCAAGGGTCAATCTAGCTCAGTCATCTGGTGATGGCTGGAAAAAAAATGAAAACAGCAGCAAGTACAAGGTGTACTTTTCAAGTCTCCCTCTCTGCTGTTCTCTGTGACTTCAGGACCTCAGAGGCCGTGTTTACAGCTGGGCTTGTAACAGTGATTACAAATCTTCTATGAAATTTTTCTGATCTTCCAATAATCATTTATATTCCTGGCAAATGGAAGTGTCTTCAACAATGAGTTCCATATATGACTTGACTGTAGTCTTGCTGACCTTATTAATTCTGAATTATTTGTGTAGCTTGTACATGGATATACCTCTGGGCTGGTAAACAGTTTGATAAGCACTGCTTTAGAGGAACATGCTGTTTTCATGTTGCTCCTTGTACTTGTCATCCTGACAGCTGTGGAAGAAAGAGGGATTGATCCATTTTGTCTCTCTCAGTAAAAACTGGAGATGGGTAACAGAACTTTTGATTCAACAATTCAAAGTATGGGAGACCTCTCCTTTTTTATTTCATTTCAAATTTTTTAAACTTCCTAATAATTACAATTCTACTTTCAGCTGCCATTCATTTCTTTTCCAGTTGGAGGGAAAAAAAATATGAATCCAAGTTCACATTCCCCTCTGTCTGCTGAGATCTGAATACCAGCAATGCAGCTGGCAAGTTTTGTCAGCCTCTCTTCTTTCCCAAGGAGCAGCCAAGTGAAATTGTCAGAAAATGATTGTGTGCTTTAAAATTTGGCTCTGCCTGTTATGTAGTTGGAAGATATAAGAGTGCAAGTATAAAAGCTTGAAACTTAATTTAAAAATAACTGACCTTATCATATAGCAATTTATTCTATACCCTTCAGCTCACTTTACGAGCAGAAAAAAACTTTCTCTGCCTGCCTTTGCCAAGCTGAGGGCTTGGATTCTAATTATTATACAGTCAAGTATTTAAAGGAGATCTAAATAAGAAGCAAACACTGCTGGCTGATTTAGGTGCCCCGTGAAATGCTGTGTAACTTTCCTAAGTAGCAAATGGAAACTATGCATTTGTAGCAGCTTGCTGATGAGAGCCCAAACACCTATGAGCTGTAGGTGTGCATATATTAGAGACAGATTAGTTTGGCTTTTTTGGGGGTGTAGGTAACCTCTGTTTTTAGACTACTAACTTTCATATTGTTCACCTGAAAGTAGTTTGTATTTTTATGAGGTCGAGAACTTGATATGAAGAAGGCTAAAAATCTTCTTTTATTTGTTTCTAGATATGAGAAATGAGTGTTGGACGCAGAAGATTAAAGCTGCTGGGAATTCTGATGATGGTGAACATTTTTATTTATGTGATTGTGGAAGTCTCAAAAAGCGGCAGCCAAGAGAAGAATGCAAAAGGCCGTGTTGTTATACCACGTAGCGCATTCTGGAGAAAATATACCCCTCACAAAGCTTATTGGAACAAACAGCAGCAGAAGCTTGAACTCCTGTACAACCCTATTCTGGCCTTGCTTTCCAATATGACTGTGGAAGAGAACTTGAGTTCTAACTTGAGTGCTCTCAGTTCCTGTGACCCTGACCCTTGGGTGTCTTCAGAGGTCAGTGACTTTGCAAACCTGCCAGACAGATTCAAAGACTTTCTACTTTATTTGAGGTGTAGAAATTATTCATTAGTAATGGATCAGCCAAACAAGTGCAAACATAAACCTTTTCTGCTGCTGGCTATTAAGTCACTTATACCCCATTTTGATAGAAGGCAAGCAATTAGGGAATCCTGGGGCAAGGAAATTGAATCAGGGGATGTGATAGTCAAAAGGGTCTTCTTGCTTGGACAGACCCCACCAGAGGATCATTTTCCCGATCTTTCACACATGCTGAAATTTGAGAGTGAAACCCACCAAGACATTCTCCTCTGGAACTACAGAGATACTTTCTTCAACCTGACTCTGAAAGAGGTGCTGTTTCTGAAGTGGGTCAGCAGCAGCTGCACGAACGTCCAGTTTATTTTTAAGGGTGATGATGATGTTTTTGTGAATACCCATCAGATCCTGGATTACTTGAAGAGCTTATCAAAGGAAAAAGCCAAAGACTTATTTATAGGTGACGTGATCAAAGATGCTGGACCTCACAGAGAAAAAAAATTGAAGTACTACATCCCAGAGAGTGTTTATGAAGGTTCATACCCTCCGTATGCGGGAGGTGGCGGGTTTCTGTACTCTGGTGATCTGGCATTAAGACTGAATAATGCATCTGACCAGGTACTCCTCTACCCTATTGATGATGTTTATACTGGAATGTGCCTTCAGAAGCTTGGGCTTGCTCCTGAAAAACACAAAGGCTTCAAAACGTTTGATATTGAAGAGAAATACAGAAATAACATATGTTCCTACACAAACTTAATGTTAGTACATAGTAGAAAACCTCAAGAGATGATTAAGATCTGGACACAGTTGCAAGATCCACACTTAAATTGTTAAAGTAATGTGCGTAAGTCCAAGTCCAAATAACTTTCCAGGTTTGGGTCTGACTTCCTTGGTGGATCACTGAAGCTCTGTTTAATAGTTGAATTTTCTCCCTAAACTTTTTTCCTGTACTTTCGAAAATGAGAATAATACTAAAATTTGAAGGGATGGCTTGAAGACTTGGTCCTGACTTTTCCACTGTCCTGATGGTCGTTATGTTTCAATATTTGTCTTAATTTTAAAAGAGACTTTGAGGATATAACTAGCTGTCAGTGACTGGTTAGCTGTATTGGAAACAGGGATTGCCTACTGCAATGCATTTTTCATTAATTGTGTTGGTGGAAGATAATTTTTCCTTGAGTAGTGTTCGTGTGTGGAAACCACTGTAAATTGAAAATACACAAATTGGAGGAATGTAATTTTATCTTTAGGTATGAAACATTTACAAGACTTTAACTTTCAGATTTTGTTTTAATGTATAGTTTTCAGTCCTTTTGCACCCTGAAACAGTATTTTCTCGTTTACTTAGAATTTTTCGTGCAAAGTATATCTGTGTCTGAAGGATTTACCCTTTTATTAGATGATGCCTTTTTTTTTTTTAATAAAAAAAGCATAATACTCCTTGAAACACCCCATAAGAGCTCAATATATAAGGAAAAAGAACAGACTTTGTTTGGAGCTGGGCAGTAGGTACAGTTAGGTCTGGTCCCTGCCTCAAACTTGGTTACTAAAGATGACTTATTGCTTATATTATTTATGTGAAAAGCTACTCTGGTCAATCCTTGTTTCCTGTTTGG